TATATATACATATATATACATATACATATATATACACATATACATACATATATATACATATACATATACATACATACATATATATACATACACATATATATATATACATACATACATATACATACATATATATATACATACACATATATACATATACATACACATATATATACATACACATATATATACACACACATATATATACATACACATATATATATATACACACATATATACATACATATATATATACATACACATATATATACATACACGTATATATATATACAGTGGGTACGGAAAGTATTCAGACCCCCTTAAATTTTTCACTCTTTGTTATATTGCAGCCATTTGCTAAAATCGTGTGGAGAAAACCAGGCACTGCTCATCGCCTGTCCAATACAGTCCCAACAGTGAAGCATGGTGGTGGCAGCATCATGCTGTGGGGGTGTTTTTCAGCTGCAGGGACAGGACGACTGGTTGCAATCGAGGGAAAGATGAATGCGGCCAAGTACAGGGATATCCTGGACGAAAACCTTCTCCAGAGTGCTCAGGACCTCAGACTGGGCCGAAGGTTTAACTTAACTTAAATGATTTTAGCAAATGGCTGCAATATAACAGAGTGAAAAACTTAAAAACTTAAGGGGGTCTGAATACTTTCCGTACCCACTGTATATACATATATATATATACACACATATATATATACATATATACATATACATATATATATACATATACATATATACATATATATATATATCTCTGTCCTGTCATGGAGTCGTGAATAATTCATAAAAAGTTTAAACACGAATAGATTAATTCATGATTGAAGACTTTAGTGTAGTTATGCATCTTGTGTGTCACTTGTCACAGCACAAAAAAGAGAATATGAAAGGTGCCAAGTTAATTAGTAAAACCTTAACTCACTAGCACATTCTTCACTCTAAGAAAAATATTTCAAAACCGCATTATTAATCTACTGAAGATGATCTGTTTGGTGATGGCATTTACCCTCTGCTTAGTTTAAGTACTGAAAGTGATAATAAAAAGATTGGATATTGTTACATGAGCTGGAATTTCTTCTTTAAAGAAAAGATTATAGCAGGTGGCAACAGTAGCTAAGGTTTAGTGATGCAGTGAGAACAACTTTCTGCAGTATAGTGTGAATGCTCAGTGGTCATACCAAGCTCTGTTCACTCAGAAGGCAGAAGAGCAAAGCATTTCCAACTTCCCTCAGGCTCTGGAAGCACACGGTCTTCAGCTCAGCATACTCCACAATGTCCTTCAACTGGTGGTGGAAAAACTCCAGAATACCTGCATCCAGGAGACAAAAATCATACTTTCACTATAATGCCTCATTTTGTTTGTTTTTGGAAATGCTGAAGTATTAGTATTCCTCTATTTGCACACTGCATTGTGATTAACAAAAATAGATCCCGTTTCTGGATCAACATCTCCTAATAAATGCTTAAAATCTGGATGTCTTGTTAACAGTAATATTGATCCAGGCCCTAAAACTAACCTTGACGCGACCAGCACATGCATGTATTGTGGTTTCTGAAGGTTTAATAAAGGTAAATTTAAGTTAAGAGTTTAAGACCACTTTAAAATTAAGTAAAGAAATTTAAATACATTTGAGGAAACGTCATTTTAATCTGAACCTTCTGTTCACACTGCAAAAAAAGTCATGATCTTCCTCAATAATTGTCTTAGTTTCCAGTGCAAATGTCTAGATTTTTAAATTAAAGGGCTAGTTCACTAATTAATTCATTAATTCAAAATATAAAAAATATCTTAATTTGTGTTCCGAAGATGGTCTTATGGGTTTGGAATGACATGACAGTAATTAATGACAGAATTTTCATTTTTGGGTGAACTAACCCTTTAAGATACATTTATTTGAGAAGGAAAATTACATAAGATGAGAGGTTTATCAAAAATCGAGTTTATGATTCAAACAAGGACAAATATCTCCCAGTGGTCTCAGAAAACTATTTAATTCAAAGAGAAAACATTAGGTTACTTGCGTAACCCCGGTTCTCTGAGAACAGAGCGAGGTATCTCACTATGGGAAACGCCCCAGGCGTGATAGACTATGGAAGCACCAACTATACCACGTCTGTCCAAAGGACAGACCAATCACAGCTCATGACAAGGAGCCCACCCCCTCCCTATATATGGCTGTGATCCCCGAAAACGGCATTCTAAGCACGCTCTTCCCCCGTGTTATGCGAGTAGGGAAGCTTGGTGAGATACCTCGCTCTGTTCTCAGAGAACCGGGGTTACGCAAGTAACCTAA